AAGAGCGGTTGGGCGAACAAGGGAAGCAATGGGAGGTATGGTAAAAGCAGGTGCGCTGAGTATTTAATAGAGTCCCACACTTTAAGTGTATGCATCATGAGGGGGCTAAGGGTCCTAGGTCTATCACATGCTGGCAACCAGGGTAAAGCCGTGAGAGGCATGGGGGAGCAATTCGGGATTTCCAACATAAGCCATAGTGGGGGCTGGTGGCGCTGGTGCATAGTTATTAGTGGTATGAGTTGAGCAGCTTGAATGGGACATTTTAAGGTGGAATATGAATGTAAGGCATACGCCAGTCTTGGGCTCTATTTATTTGTTTATGCATTCCCAGTTGTCAGGGTGCACAATTTAAATTGAAGGTTTTGTAAGAATGGTTGGAACACATATAATAATCCTGTGCTTAAAATACATGATTTAGAAAAGTATGAAGCATTCAAGTGCTCAGTTGTTACTTAATGAAAAGCACAGAGGAGTTTCTGTGCACACACATCCTCATATTTCATGCCCTCTGTTATGCAGCTTCATGCACACTGTTGTCAACCTCTTGTTAGATAAATGCAGCCAAATAGCACTCTGACCAGATTATTTAGCCACTAGCTTTCATACCCAGGAATTATGGGCCTTTTACTGATTTTCATCTTTTCTGATGGCCTTCAAACTGAATTATTGCCATAGCTGTCAGATCTTGACTTATGATTTCTTTACTAAAGCAGAATCACCCTTCTTTCAGCTATGTGTAAGCCATATGTGTGGCAGCCAACTTGGCAGCTCCCAGTTTATGGAAATTGAGGCACATGATTGTGCCTCAAATGCAATTATTTTAGCAAATGGAAAGATAATTTTTATTTTTTTTAAACTGCATAGCGTGGAGGGAACCTGTGTGAAGAGAACAATGTTGGTAGATTTAGCTGTAGTGAGAATATTTAACATCAAGAGCCAAAACACGTTGGAGGGTAACTGACAGCAGCCTTGTAGAAATGTGGGAAAAACAGAATATACAGAACTTGTGAGGCTCTTCAAGTAAATAAAACAGTTTGAATGACTTTTAGCTCTGTCTTATGTTCATAATCTTTTGAAGGAAAAAATATTTCATAATGTCAGTTTTTATTTGTTCACATATAGTAAATATTTATCAAGAACATTTTAACTAAACTCCATATTGATGACAAACATTCATGGTAAAATGTACCTGATCCTTTTTCTCTGCTGTTCATTGACTCATAAAATGTTATTCAATAAAGACAGGCTTCCCTAGAGGGTTAAGAGAATGTGATTTTGTGTTGCATGTAAACTATATACACTGTCCAGATGTGCTACATATTCCTTCATAAAATGAGTACCGTATTTTTCGCTCCATAAGATGCACTTTTTCCCCCCAAAAGGAGGGGGAAAAAGTGCCTGCGTCTTATGGAGCGAATCCCGACGCCCGAGACATGCAGTTTCGGGCGCCGGGCGAGTAGTAGGAGCCCCTGCTCGTTTAATACGAGTGATCTAACGAGATCACTCGTATTAAAACCAAGCAGCGGCGGCGCCGATCAAGTTCAGCAGCAGGAGCCACTGCTCGTTTAATACGAGTGATCTAATGAGATCACTCGTATTAAAACCGAGCAGCGGCGACGATCGAGATAACCATACAGCAGACGAAGAATAGACGTTCTTCGCCTGCTCTGTGTGATCACTGAGACCGTGGTGCTGTAATCACAGCGCCACCTGTCTCAGCGGTCACTAACTGCAGCTTCTGTGACAGCTTCTGTCATAGAAGCTGTCACAGAAGCTACAGTCTCGAGTGCTCCATAAGGCGCGCCGGACCTCCCTGCGTCCTATGGTCCGGTGCGTCCTATGGACCGCAAAATACGGTACTTAAAAAATACACTAATGCAAGGAGCAGTAGCAGAAACAAAACAAGGGCCAGTCATACAAACAGGGCTCAAAATCTCCACTCGCCCCCTCGCAATTGGCGAGTGAAAATTGCAAGGGTGCGAGTGGAAATTCATCGGCAGAACTGGGTGTGAAGGGAAGACAGCCAAACTGATTCTTCTCCTCTGCGGCCGCTGCAGCTACAGAGCGTCCAAGGAGGAGAAGAATCAGTTCGGCTGTCTTCCCTTCACTCCGGCCACCTGCAGCTTCCTCCGCCCACCTCATCTGCTATTGGCCAGCTCGAGGTTTTTGCAGCATGGGAGCTGAAGGGAGGCTTCAGCTGTGAACATGGAGGGTTCATCTCTTTTTCCGCCCGACCAGTACCACCACCACCAGGAAAAGGGCATCTAAATCAGGAGAGGAAAAGGGCAATAGAGGAAGAGGGCACTTAAACCTGTTCTTTCTGCCTTACACCGCTGACCTCTGTGCGTTACATTACTGACCTCTGTACTGCTGACTTCTGCACTGTGTTTACATTAGTTACCTCTGCACTGTGCGTTACATTAGTGACCTCTGTGCTGTGCGTTACATTACTGACCTCTACTGTGCGTTACATTACTGAACTCTGTACTGCTGACCTCTGTACTGTGCGTTTATATTACTGACCTCTACTGTGCGTTACATTACTGACCTCTGTACTGTGCGTTAAATTACTGACCTCTGTACTGTGCTGTGCGTTACATTACTGACATGTACTGTGCGTTACATTACTGTCCTCTGCACTGTGCGTTACATTACTGACTTCTGTACTGTGGTACATAACTGACCTCTGCACTGTGCGTTACATTACTGACCTCTGTACTGTGTGGTACATAACTGACCTCTGCACTGTGCGTTACATTACTGTCCTTGTGGCGAGTAACTCTCAAGGCCTAGCTGAAATTTTGAGCCCTGACACAGACACATTTTTATAGGTGATTATAAGATTGGTCTTCAGAAAAGTGATCACATACTGTTGGTAAGCTCAGTGACACTCGGCATTCACTGTTTTATGAGCATGCACATTGAAAAGACTGATTGCTTTTCTCACAGATGATGAAATGTTTCAACCATAGAGCTTCGAGAGATCACAAGTAGAACACGGCCTGTATGGTCATTTGTTTTATGTTTCCAGATGTTTTGCTAGTAATCTTCAAATATGACTCATAGTAATACAATGTATGTAGTTTACACTTAGTTAAACCCATTCATACTAAGGGGCTAATGTATAAAGGCAATTATTTAGGATTTCCAAAATGGATGAATACTGCTCAATTTAAATTACAACTACTAGATGGAGCTAGAGGAGCATAGTAATTTCCCATGCTCCTTGGAGCCATCTAGCGGCTGTAATGCTGCCCAAATGGCATTTCCCCATATTGGAGCAGTTAAATCCTTACAAACGGCATTCATAGAGGAAGAGAGGAGGGGGACCGGGGTGTGACTTAATCTCTTCTCCAATCACAGAATGCCTTGTATAAGGCATTTTGTGAATGGACAAGTAGCAGGGATGTGACTAGAATACTTTGCTGCTTGAGTTGCATCCCTCACTCCCGTAGCACCTTGATGAAACAAATTATTATGCAATGAACCTCTGAATCTGAAAGTGCACATTAAAAAAAACAGAATTTTGGCCACTGTCATGTTCTGCACATGTGCTCCGCCATCTTAGAGGCAAGCGTATGATGTCACATGACGCCGGCATCGGGGTGACATCCTATGCATGTATGTGTGCCGCCATCTTGGATGCAGCAAGATGGTGGTGCCTATACAAAATGAAATATTATATGCCCGAATATAGTTTTTCGTATATTCTGGCATATAATAATTAGTTATTTCGGATTCGGACGAACGGCCGAATCAACAGAATTTTGTGATTCAGCAAGTTAGTCTTAATCCGAATGCATATCTCTAATACTGTATAGCATATGAGATTATGAGATTTGCAAATCATTGCATTCTGTTTTTATGTAGATTTTACACAACTTTGTCCCAACTTTTGTGGAATTGGTGTTGTATTTGCTGTCTGCTTTAGCTATTATTTCACTGTTTTATATTTTTAAACACTGCAGGTTTGCGTTAAGTTTCAAGGTTGGGAATTTGGGGTAAAAAGCTAATTATAGCTCTTGTCACTAGCACACTTCTCCCTGAATGTTATTTTTTCTGCATAATCGGGACAGCAATCCTTATTTGAACAGCTGTGGTGATGGAGTAAATAGATGAACAGTTATAGAAAACAAAAATTATCTTTTAAGACTCCAAATGTGACATTGTGAATTTTTTGAGCAAATTAGGAAAGCGTGATTTAGCTTGGTTCAAACAGAGTTCATAATCACTGGAATTGTTATAATCTGTGAATGTAAATTAGAATGCAATTATCTGCATTGTTGAACTTGATTTATAATATAGCTGCACTGTTTTGGCTGAATTCCCTGCTATGCTTTCTAAAAATGCAGCGATATACGGAGGTGAGATGCTGGCAAAGGCACTAGAAAGTTGAAAACAGAAGGGAAAGTATCCTAAAGCTGTATTAGGGCGGGGAGTGGGGGATTTCACTTTCATTATCTGGCTTGATTTGAAACAAATAGTGTCAGGCTGAGAGCTTTTGATGTGAACAGTATTGCATTGTACTTTTAAATTACTCTGCTGGCATTTGTTGGTAAGTGCTTGAGGCCTGCTGAAAATGTGTCCGCAAAACAGAGCAGTTACTGAAGATCTGAGGTCAAATCTAGGTTTCTAGGGCCCAGCCAAGAAGCAGTCTTCAATGTCATGCCACAGGGGGAGGCTAAAAACTTCCTTATTGAGTCTGCTTGATGCCGATTTGCCCTGGAAGAGCTCACAAAGCGTTGTAATGGGTGGCCATACATTCCACCGCCAAAAACTGGGCCGGATTATGTTAAAATGTGTGACCACGTGACCGGTCACACATTCTAACGTAGTCACAAATGTTGGTAGAACACTGGACTGTCCTGGTGAATCCCGGATCGGTGGCAACCCTAGAGACTTTGCATGCCCCTGCGGCAAAAAAATACATCCCTACGCCGCCTCCCCCCCCCTGCAATTTTTTTATTTTACTAACCTTTTTTGTTAACGGTTTCCACCAGCTGCCCCCCCGCCCACAGTACGATCGGCTGCACAGGAACGTGCGGTAATAAAACGCTCTGCGTTCCAGTGCGGTGGGATCACAAAAAATAGTGCAAGCACGTTTTTTTGCAATCTTATTGGAACGCAAGGCCTTTTTTTTACCGCACGTAACTGTGCGGCTGATCGTACTGTGGAAGGGTCTGCAGTGCCATTGACTTGAATGGCACTGCCGCGCCCCCTCCTACCCCAGAACACAGGGGGACATTGCGGTAGATATGCGGGCAGGTGGAAACAAGGCCTTAAGTAGAACACCAGACATAACTTTTATTTGTTTTGTGTGTGATTACTAAAATATAACACACAACATCTGTGTCCCCAACCTTCATTTCCTATTGTGTCACCTATAAAGAAATTGTGTCAGGTTTTCTTCCCCTGCCTGTATCCTTGATATGTACTATTGCACATAAAAGATGCCCCCACAAAACATTTTTTTGGGGGGCATGTTTAATGGGCAATACTGATCTCCCCTCCCCCTTTCCAATTAATATTGCATTTGATCAAAATTTTATAACTTCACCCCTCCGTGTGTTTTTTTTTTCTAGATACCCTCTTACTTTTTTCACTGGAGTTATCCACAATAAATATACTCACTGTCCTGTTGTAATCTACTGCTCCACAGCCACATGCCAGGTCCCATGCTGCTATCCTCTTTACTTATGTCATCAGGAGCTGGTTGTCCCTTCTTGGTACTTGAAGCCAACACCCTGATGATGCGTGCAGGTCATCCTCAGTCCAGTCGTAGGTCCACCTTCTACCAGCGCAGGTTCACCCTCCTCAGCCGCCAGCAAGCAGGGGTTGTGTGACGAAATCGCTGCTCTCCACAGCCCCTGCTTGCTGGCTGGCTGCCGGAGAAAGATTCGTCCCTCACGGCTCCCTCTCTCCCTGATGTCACTTCCTCCCACTACAGCCACGGAGGAGAGAAACAGGGGAGGGAGAGTCCAGGGACAGGAAACAGTGCCACCCGGCGTCCGCCGCAAGATATGCTAGTATGCGGCATTGTACCGTTTGAATGGTGTGCCGGGCGGGATGTGGGCACAGACCCGGGCACATGATTGCAAACCCATACTGCCCGGGTGAAACCCGTACGGGTGGCAACCCTAGCCTAGCTCCATGTAGCAAATCTATTGCAGTATATGTTCATTTCACACTTCCTATTTGTGGATTCATGGTACCTGTCAGTTGCTCCTGGAGGTAACTACATTTTGTATACAGTCAGTAGCCAGAAACATGGAAACTCCTTCTGAGTGATGCCTTTAGCTCTCTGACACACACACACACTCCACTAGAGTCCTTTAACTGTGATTTTCAAAGTTGTTTTCATCATGGCCCCACTTTGTTGTTCTAAAATGTAACTTGGGCCCTCATCTATTTTCTACATTATATGATTTAAATTTAAACTTTGGAATAAGTAGTTTTAAAGGCCCACTCCAGGGAAATTAAATGCAGTGGGTCCGCCTCTGCACTGCAGTGGTTAACTGCTCATTTATGCCTGTTTCACTTATCTGATCCTGGTTTCCCCATATGTTGGGGCTCCCCTCTTTTCCCTCTCCAACCTTGCTGTGGACTGTCCTATGGTATCCCCATGTCCAATGCTATGGAGCCTGCATTGTACTTGATGATGTTAGAGGTCCTTAGACCACTGAAGCGAAGGGGAGAAGAGGCAGCAGAGGCCAGTCTAGCAGTCTGGGGGGGAGCCAGGCGCTTATGAATAAATATTGTGATATAAGTAAAGGTAAAGTCATCGAGGGGCGATATATTTCCCCACGCTTTCTATCCTATGTACAGGATTAGCAGAACCCAGACCGGGTTTTCGGGCTGATTTGGGGTCTGAATAATCCAGCTCGAGTTTTGTGTCTCACCTGGATTGTTAATTGCCTAATGATTGCTTATCCAGGTGAGATAAAAGGAAAAGGCTGAAGCATAATGTTGATCTGCCCTGGGACTCAAACAGCATTCTGAGAGAGCTACAAGGTGGACGGTTGTAAGTAAAAGGTTGCTGAAAGTACTTTTGTTTTGTGAGGTGGCTGAGATAAGCTCACCCCCTGGTAGAGAGGAAACCTGCCTGTTTAGTCAGAGCCTGGATGGCAAGGTGTTAAAACAATCAGGTCCGAACAATCTCGGATTCAAAGAAAGACTTTATTACTTGTACGAGGTGACAAGACATCAGATATCTACGCCAGTCTATGGATGCTATCCGATGGTTCTAACCCATGTAACCTGTGCAATAGGGCTGCATATACATGAGTTAGCCTGCCAGAAAAACATCCACGTCTTGTCTAACTAACATAAAGCTTGCATAAGTTAATAAAGCCTGGGCTGTGGAAAGTCCCTTATCAGAAGTAATTTTTATTGGATCCCTCCACAGCCCTTAGTATAATTGTAACGCCTCTGCATAGTACAGAGGCGTTACAATTTGTTCCTGATATTTTGCTAGCCTAAGCATTCTAGCACATGATTATACAAGTAAACTTAGAGAGGTAATTTTTCCTCTGACATCTCCCCCCTTTTTATACTTTTATAATAATGAAAGGAATGTGCATCGGGATCATTCCTGTATGCTTTCGGAATGTCCGTCATAGTATCCTCACACGGATGAGATGGCATCATAATTGTCTTTATCTTCTTGCTGGAGTGGAGAGTAGTCTTTTTCTTTACAGTACATTACCTTGGTAAGTGAAGTGTCAATTAATTTTTGTAGTAGTCCTCGTATGCAGGGGATTCAGCAGCAACCACGAAGAATCAGGACTGAAGCCGCCATGCATATTGATATCAGTACGTTTTTTGCCAGATCCGCCCATTTCCCGAACCATTTCTCAAATAGTCCACTTATGGGATTCTCTACACTAGAGTTTTCTGCCAATTCTTCAGATAAGGCTTGCAGGCCATGCAGTGCTTTAGTCACACTACCATCCGGAGCCGGTGTTGTTTGGAATAAATGTGCAGCAGAAGGGGCCGAACATTTTGCATACCCCACCCCGTTCTGCAAGCAACATATCCAATGCAATGCGATTATGCCACGCTGTCAGAGAGGTGGTGTCCAGTTGCTCTGCCAAGCCTTTAACGGCGTCTCTGGTATAGTTGACGAATCTCTGCTGTTTGTAGTAGATGTAGTTGATCCAGTCGACGTTCTTCTTAGGTTGTACCCAAATAAAGATGGACGTAAATCCGGCCGCTACTTGGTCTTGGGCCTTGAACTCGTCTGGAACTCCTCTGGGTATACCGATGGAATCCAGGTAAACCCTGTTGTCGAAAGATCCATGGGGGGCACTTCTTTTTGGTCTCCGATACTTCTTCCTTGGGATGTATGGCATGCCTTCATCACCTAGTGGGATGAGAAAAAAAGGGGAGAGGAGGTGTACCAGAGTACAATCTCCTCTCTATTTAGGGGGAAGTCTTGATCTCAATTTCATATCTCCACATAACCACTAGAGGTCTGACGGTTGTTGCTTTTGCTCTAAAAACCACTTGCTCTGGTATGGCTCAGGAGGTGAGTTTACAACTTGGTTACAAAATGAGTTGGGCAAAAGCTTGAACTGTGTCCCGTCCTCTAGAGAGCTGCGTAAACAGGTGAAATTACCGGGGGTCGCCGTGATCGAGGGGAGTAGGCCCTTGATTCTGGCAATGGTGTATGCTTCCCTTTCTGCCATGCATTCTTTACCCGTAATATTCTCTGAAAACTATTTTATAAGACAGGTGAGATTAGTTTCTTCCTCAAACACAGGTACTGTGGCAAGCTGGGGTCGAGCTTTGGAACAGGCTATACAATTACCTTGTTTTTGTACTTCCTGCACCGTCCATCTGACCCATTCCGTGACGTAACCGGACAGATCAGTGCTCCACCAAACTACCTTCCAATCTGAACATGGGATCTGGGCACAAATATTTCTCATATTTGCTAACAGTCTTTGGCCAATTACCTTTTCCACATGGGACTGTTTCACACACATCGAATTGGATGATGGTGGTCACTCCTTCCTGTACCTTCAGGGTTATTGTTTGGTCTGCGCCTGTCTTAGTTAGTTCTCTTTTTGTCCTATGGAGATTTGTCAGGGATAGGGTCAGCCAGGTGTTTTTTGTGATTAGGCCTATGATAATTGCTACTGACAGAATTCTGCCTGAATTCTGACAGAATTCTGGTTCTAATAACCATCTTACCCTGTGTTCTTTTATCATCCCTATGGATCTTTTTCCCAGGGTTGATTTCTTCAACAGGTTTGAGACGGGTGGTCCCTAGTGGGTTCACCCCCCTTTGTAACCGGACTTTTTCTGGTTAGGATCCTATGGATGCTCCCTCTTCTGACCCTAAGCCTCTTGCTTTCTTACAATGTGTCAAATGTACCCACGGGATTCTCAGCTATTTTAACTGCAGTAGGTGTGGATAATACAAACTTTCTTTTGATTAGTTCACAAAGCCATAAGCTGTGAACACTCCTTCAATTATCTTTACCATCCCTCCTCTTGAGACATGGCTTTGCCCATGGCTCAATAATGCTGCATATCTAAATAGTGATTTGGGGAGGATTGGTTTACATTCTACACTAGTGTATATTTCTTGTATTTGTGTGGCCCCTTTCTTTTCCCATACCTCTTTTTCTTGTACTGGTGCTTGATTTTGCATTTCCTTCATCCATTCTTTGGTGAGAATTTGTGATGTTTTTTCTTTTTCTATATTACAGACCTGTACAGTTTCTGCTGTCTGGCTATTTTATCTGCGTATGCATTACCCATTGTGATATAATCTGTGCCAGTTTTGTGAGCAGCGCATTTGCAGATAGCGAGAGCTTGTGGTTTTTACACACTGTCAAGTAATGTCAATATGAGCTCTCTATGTGTAATTGGTTTCCCTGTGGATGTGACCATGCCCCTATTTTTCCATTGTTGTGCAAAGATATGTACCGTGGAGAATGCGTATTGGCTATCCGTGTGGATGGTTACTCGTTTGCCTTTCATGAGTTCACAAGCCCGTGTGAGCGCCAC